TAAAGATTTAGGCTGTGTATTTTAGCACATGCCATAGGTGCTTGCACGTGTTGTATGTACGTGTGTGTGTACATGCACATGCATACAGTGATGAAACAGGAATACCTCTCTAAATTGCAGCTAGGAAGTGTGCAGTAAGGTCTTCTTGAATAACTTATAGAATAACGTGATGGTATTCAAAGATCTTTGAATATCAGAGATGTGTACTTGATGGTACACACAGATGTATTCAAAGATCCCTGTTTTACACTATTAAACAGTTGGGTATTGGGTAAACAATACCCAATGGGTATTACCCACCTTGGGTACTGTTTTTTAGTTGGGTACTGTTCTATACTACCTGGGTATTTCATACTGCCTATATAATTTAGCCCCTTTTAGTTGGGTGTTTCCATTCTGTCTTTTGTAGCTGAAATATCCAAAGCATCCAGGGTGAGAAGAAAATAGCTCTGATTCTGAAATGCATCATAGTAAAGAAACAACAAAAATGACATTTCCAAGGGGATTTAGACGTACACAAATCCTATGGATTTCAACAAGAGTTGGGTGCCTAAGTCTACTAGGGGGCTTTGGAAATCTCAGTGCAAATCCTGAAATCATTGTAGAACCTGACCTGCCGGGATACAGGTTTTTCTGTCTTCGTGAAGTGTGTAGCCAGCGGCACAGGAGCAAACCACTTTGTGTTGCGGGTCATTCCTGCAGAATTGCTTGCACCCTCCATTCTTGGTCGCGCAGGTTGAATCTGAATGGGAAGCAAAGAGGAAAAGTGGTGTGGTGCTTTGCAAGCATAATGAGACAGTGAAAAATTAACAGGGGGCTGGATGTATCCCCGAGGTGCTTGTTTACTTGGGACTTAACCTGCTCCTGGCTCTGCATGTAACCCAGTCCAAGTGCTATAAGGGCCAGGAAAGGGTTAGGGTAATATTTGTGGGGGGGTTTAATAGCCACAGCAAATTTGCATGCTCTCACACACCCAATAAAACCCCTGATCAGAATCAGCAATGGCCAGACGTCTGTGCCTGGTGTATGCAAGCAAAACTTGAATTTAAGAAAACCATCAAGGCCAAATTGCCTACTTGAATTGCGTGGTTTGCTCTGAAAATGTCCACTGCATGCCTCCAACTAAGGGGCACTTATGCAGCAAGTACACGCCAACGCTTCATGGAAGTTATAAACCATCTGTCTCTGAACTAGAGAGAGTCTGAGCTGTAGATCTGGATGAAAGTGCAGGAAAAAAGTATTAGGGACAGTCATGGGGAAGTGTCAGCATCTGCAAGCCCCTTTGCTCTTGTGAGCTATAGAGCTTAGGCTGGTTTAGGATACCTCATTCCTGATCCACCAGCCACTTACTGGGACTGTTGTGGAAGGATAAGTGTCTACCAGCCCAGCCTCCTTTTGCTACAGAGCTGTACCTGTCCTGATGCCAGTGACTTTAGGGAGATCAAGGCTGCTCAGCGTTGCAGAGCCCTCTGGAACTTGGCAATTCTTCTTGGAAAGGTTTATACAAATATTTGGCTACAAAGTCACATGTTTTCCCCGTTGTGCTGCTCTTCTCCACCCAGTTTTCCTGAATTTCCGTGCAGGGGACCAGATGCTGTGGGGGAGAGCTGCAGCATAAATCTGGACCTCAAACCCCAATTGCCAGATGGAAGTGAGCCCAGAAGGCCTATGCCCAAATCAGTGTCAGCTGGTGAGTGCCATCAGGTTTTGCATTTCAGAAAAGGTCGTGCAAAGCCATGTGTTTTCCATGACGTGATCCACCCCAGAGCGATGTGAAAAGTTTTGGGAGCTGCAGCATTTGATTAAACCAAGTTTGGAGTTTGCCGTGAAACCTGGAGTTGGGGGAAAGGTAAAATTCAGGTTTCACTAAGGACATTTTGGATGCGTTCTCTCCTCTGGATCTCCATTTCCTGGGTGTCAAAAGCTACTCATCAATGGATTTGCTTGAATTCTCAAATAACTTCATGGTAGACGATCTTCCCTTCCACTTTCTCAAGGACACATCTCTTCCTGTAGCCATTTTAACGTGATCATTTACTATTTTTACAGACACTTCTTATGCTTCATTTCTATTGCTATTTTTGTTCCTTCTGCCCTTCCTTGAGAACACTGCAATGAGCCCATTTAAATTTTGATGCAGCTTTGAAATACACTTCCTAACCTGCACTTCTCTCTTGCCGGAGCCAAAAGAAAGAGAATTTCTTATTAGCACAGTGAGTCTTGTACATTCATTATGCTAGCTACTCGACATCAGAGCCCAGGCAGGAATAACTCAGTAGAAAGAGATCCTGTTTCTTTATGCCATCAGCAGTTCCATATTCAGAAACTCCTGAGCCTTTCAGGAAAATATTTACATTTTGTTTGGATCATAATGTGTACATAGTAATCATCATCATTACTCGCTTAATTTTGGAAGGTCAAAGGCACTGTTCAGCAATACTTGGGCACACCTGGCAGTATAAGCCCAATCCTTTTGAAGTCAGGGGCAAATTCCAATTTGGCTGGCATGGATCTCCCCAGAAGGGAGCATGGGGTGAAATTGGGGCTCTATTGAAGTCACTGAAAAAATCTCTTCTTGATTTCAAAAGGCACAGACTCTCATCTGTGGAGGCAAGTATTTCCAACCAGCATAATCCACACTGGGGGCGGAAAAAAAAGCCTGCTGGGAAGAGATAAAGGAGGTTCTCTGTGTAAATATTTGCACTGGCAGGCCTGACTGCCAAAAAGACCTCAGCTCTAATTCTGTGTTAGCCCATGTGTCATCTTAGCGTAAGAGTCCTGTTTCTGGGGTGAGCCATTGCAGCTCCTGTTCTTGAGCCTGTGTAGATCAAGACTGAGACCCACAATGCACTTGCCCCTCGGTGGCATCTGCACGTTGTGATCTGCATTGGGCAAAGTGGGTGCACAAACCCTATCGGAGCAGGATGGAAGCCATTTAGACTGCCTTTGATTTGAGGCAAGTGAAGGGAAGTGATGCAACGGACCTCTCGGTACATACCTAGCTCACAGTTCCTCCCTTCGAACCCCAGCAAGCACCAGCACACGTAGGAATTCAGTTCGTCCTGGCAGGAGCCTCCATTCTTGCATGGGTTTGGGTTGCACTGATCTCCATCTTGGAAACAAAAGTAGGATAATTAATGAGCGGACAGAAATGTTTGTCACTTGGTGTGTCACAGCAAGCACTTACCTCCCAGGGTCAGCTTAAAGAAGATTGGCACTTGATGGCTATTATTATTATTATTATTATTATTATTATTAATAATGGAAAGCCCTCCTGGAGTTTTTCTTAAATCATTCTGACATCATAACCATTATGTGGCACCTTGTTCAACTACGTTATACACAAGGGACCAATTCTGGGCCTCGTTTTCTCTCTCTTCTCCTGGGTGAGAGGTTGGGACTAGGTCTTAGGTCTCAGTTATGGAAGCTGGAGTGAGGAGGTAGCCTAATAGGTCCTCTTCCCCTTCCTCTTTTAATGGTCTCATCTTTCCTTTCTGGAAGCTGTGATCTGCTCCTCTGGCTTTGGCTTTGAGTCGGCACATTAAGACACTGAATTTTGGTGGGAGTGATCACTTTTCTAAAGGTTTTTTCCTGCAGTCATAAAGGCTAGTGATTATATTTAAAAACAAAAGTTTAAATTCTCCTGTATTTAAGTCCACGCTTTAATCCAAACAAACTAGCACAAAACACTCAACATACAAGGAGTTGGTATCTCTGAACTAGTGATACTGAATCCTAAGAAAGCCAAGTTTTAATAGTGTGACAGGATGCTTAGCGTGCCTGCTGTATTAAGAGGGGAAGAGGCTGCATGAGAAGCAGTCTCCAATATGGAAGGGGCCAATTGGAGATTTGCCTGAACAGGAGGGGGCCGGGCTTGAAGCATATAAGCCCAGGGCCTGAGCTGGGCAGGCAGTGTAGCCTTGAGGGCCACGGAGAGAGGGGCTCCTGGATAACATCTGAGCTGGGGGTAAGCAACACCTGGTGGTTTGTGCAAGGGACTAAGGGGAGGTAGGGTGGTCCCAGTAGGCCCAGAAGGGAGAGAGGGACCAGAGAGCCTAAAGATTTACAGCCCAGGAGTGTCGACTGGTCTAGGATTGGGACCAGGACCCAGAGAGAGGGACCAAAGACCAGGGTTCGCAGCCGGAGACTGAGGCAGCCAAGGAGCCTGTAGCCCAAGAGGAGCAAGAACTGGGACTGGGAGCTGGTAGCCCAGGAGGGGCATGTAATAGCTGGAATGAGCATCATCTGTGAGGCATGGGCATGGTATAAAGGGTGGTCAAAGCCACATAATTAACCCTTAAAGTGGCGAGTGGAGACACCCAAGTTCCCAGGATCAAATTTGGGAAGCCCTGGGGCAGCCTTCCTTTATCTAAAAGATGCATACATCAAGGCATGGCAGAAGAATGAAGGAGTGATTGCCCAAAGAGAGTGAAGTTGATAAGGGCTGAGGGGGGGTCCATGGGCATCAATGGCCACCCCTAGAGTGGAGCCTTGTTACAAATAGCCAAGGCCCAAGGGGAAAGAAGAATGGGATTCACATCGCATCAGCAAATTCAGCTGTTAATGCAGCTTTAGAACGGGCAGGTAGAAGGGAGATGACACAGTGAGTAGGGGCAAAATGTAACTATGTCCAGCTTGAGCACTAGAGACTGAATTTTGTTGCCCTGTTGCTAGGGCAGTTAAACCAAAGCAGTGTTGCCTGCTCTAACAAACCGGTGGCAAAAATAGGTCGGATTCTACAAGTTCGTTGGAGCGGTTTACACTGCAGCATACGTTGATCAAGGATTGAAGATGTTGACCACCTGTCACTAAAAGACAGCTATCTCCTACAGCTTCAAAAAGGGGCTAACATGATTGCGTGGTCTTGAGCTACCCTTTTGCAAGGACCAAATTTCATCTACAGGCTACGATACTGCTAATGGCACCTTGTGAGTTTAGCAATAAGAGGTGTCCATTGTTAAATGGAGGAGATGCTTTTTGGAAAGGTGACTCTTCAGCTCTATGGAAAGAAACCATGGCAGCCAAGTTATAGTACCACCATTTTTTTTTTTTTTCCAGAGGACAATCTTAAAATGCAAATGTAACTTTTTATTTTATAGTCTGGACAGACTAATCTGAATTATTTAAGACTTTTTTTAGTGAGATGTTCTGGGAGCTCAGCCAATCTACAAAGAAACTCGTTTGCTAAAGCATATCTTGTTAAAATTAGTTTCAGATGTTTAGTGTGCACTGAAACCTTTTTTGTGGGTAGAGGAGTAGGGATTATTAGAGTAGCTTGTGGATGGAGACCAAGGAGTGAAGAAATAGATCATCAGTAAAAAATGAAGTGTAAAAAAAAAAAATGTCCAAGTTTGTGGACACTAGTTTGAATTTGGGGGCTGCTGTTTGCTTTGAACAGTCAAGTTTATTTTTTTAATAAGCTGTTTTCTAGCAATTGTGCTGTGCTCACATGCACATTTAGTGAGTGGCTATTTGCACGTGAAAGAGGGCTTTTGCTATTGGCTACCCGCTGTGTTCACATCTTCTATCCCAGCCAGATGGCTAAAACTTGCAGCCTGCTACCTGACCAGTTGTACCAAATGAACAGGAAATAGTCTGTGGAAGAGTCTTCCTCTATAGGGCTTTTTGCAACCTGTTCATATTTTGGGTTTTATCTGTAAACAGGACACACAAATGCCAACTTGTTATCGTCGGCATGAAGAACGCTGACTGGTTCTAATGGAAGCTGGGTTCCAAACAATAGGAAATGTTCTTTCAATGAACATCTGTCTCTCTTGTGACCTGGGCATATGCTGAGACATGATTATAGAACGACTAGGTTTTAAAATGTGAAAGAAGCAAATTTCTTACCAAGGTACCCTTTCCAAAACTCCATCTACAAAGGAAAAACAATACTATTAATCTCATTGTTCCTTTTTTTTTTTTTTTTTTTTTTTTTTTCAAAACTGAACTACAAAATGAATAAAGAGGATAAAGGACTAGCAGGTAAAATCTTTGAGGGTACAAATCCCTCTAATGAAAGGGACCAGCTTAGCTATAAAGGCTTAGATAAGACTCAAGTGGGCATAAGGGCAGCCAGTACTTTTCATACAGAGGCAAATGGCGGCTTTTAGAAAATATATGGGTTTTTCTCCCGTACAAGGGGAAGGTACACCTTCTCCTTCCCCTGTACTACACAACTGTCCTGCTAGTCGTGGTGAGGGATGTTTCTGTTGCTCTGCAGTAACAATACTCACCGTCTTTTCCTCGTTTTCGAAAACTTCTCGTGCTTCTTCATAACTGCATTTTTCTTCGATGCATTCCCTCTCGAGGTTCCCTGCAACAACCTCCTCCAGCCTTTTGGAATTGAACCTCTTTTGCCTGGGCAAAACTGAGCTTGCTTGTTGCTTATCGATAAAAACTACAGTATAAAAAAATACATTATGATACATTCTCTTCCCTAGCTTATGGAAATTGTAATTGCATATTCAGGAAGAGGGCTTTTACCATAACTCTGGGTCTGTTCTGAGCTTTGAGATATAGCCATAGTAATTGTATCATAATGGCACAGACCAGGAATACACCATTGGAAGGAAAAAAAACCAAACACCTCATGACAAACTCAAGTCAATAAGGCTTATTTATCTTCCTGTATGGGATAAGCCATACTATTAGGATCACATTTTTATACTGGTATAATTATGGTGTAATGGAGCCAAAGGAATACAACTTGTTTTTAGACCAAGTGAAAGTCCCTTCCATCCAAACACTGTCCTTGACCATTTTTTGAAGGCACAGTAGATTTGCACCTTGGACTACCCAAACTAGATGATATATAGCACAAGCTTTTGTGAGCTGAAGTAGAGAGAGATCCACTTTGGTTCATCTAAGGTACAAGTCCGTTCTACCTTCTACTTGACTTCAGACTAACATGGCTAACTATGTCTCTCTTGACCAATTTTTCCGAAGTACTAACCACCAGGGAACTATTTTACCATGACTATCCCTACCTCCGGCATGTATGACCTCTTTGTGTGTTAACAGCTGTTACTAAACGAGAGCAAGTTGTTGATCAAGTACTTTGCAGTCCGATTCCCAAGGCTTCTCCTTGTTACTAATAACAGATGTACAGGGAAAGCCCTTAAAGCCTCTCACTGTCGTTAGAAGGTACTGTAGAGCAGCTCTACGTAGCGTGGAAGTTGGTCATTATATCTACAGTTCAACATTTTCATGTACTTTCTTGTCTACATAAAAGGTTTGTGCTAGAACAGATTTTTGCATGAATATTCTGTGCCATTGGAGAGTTGAAGAGAAGAAGCTCGGTGAGATAAGCAGGAGGAGACTTCAAGGAGTGGCTGTTAGGCTCTAAATGAGATCAGCAGAGTGGAGTTGATCCAAAGCCCTTGGAAATCATGCCGGAAAAAAACTCCCTTTAACTCAGCTAACATCTTACTCTAGAAATAACTGCAGTGAACTCCAGTGGAAGTATTCTGGATTTGTACCATGTAACTTCCTGCAAGTGGCAGTCCCAGTTGTTCTTATTACTTAAACTTAGTTCATACAAGGTTACTCTCTCATTTCTTGCACCGATACTTGCTTTCAACTGAAAACATCAAAATGGGCACAGCGAGCATTAAAAAATTGATCTTGATGGAAGCATGTGACCTTGGATATTAATAGAGCAACAAATTGTTCTTCGAAGCAGCCAGTTTCATAGCTACCGGAGAATTGTGCCTCTTTGGCTAGTAACCTTCTGATAGCAACGGCTCTTTGCATTTGGGAGAAGGATCGAAAAGTAGTTCGCTTCTCTTCTTGGAGCTGAAGTTTTGACCGTTGATTGGTGGAACTCTTGACCAGCTCGTACTCCAAATGCAAAGGCAATTTGGGTTAACCTAGCCTCAATTCAACATTGCAGTATGGGAAAGAGAGGTGTTCAGTCACTCAGGTGAAACAGATCCCAGCTCTCCTGTCTTCCTGTCCTGCCCAGCAGCTGCCAGATGGTGCATCCTTTTTCCTAGTAGGGAAGTCTGCTCTTTGGCCCAACGGTTCTCTTGCCTATGCTCACTATCAACACTGACATTTTTATAAGATCATGCTCATTGCTCAACCCTTTCACTATTACTGACAGTCCCTGGCTAAACAAAGCCCATGGGGAGGGAGAGGGGGCAGGTGGAGAGGACATCATGCAAGTCTTGGAATTAATGCATGGGATTGCAGAAAGGGGACCGGGTTTCATGAGGGACCTTGGTTGGTGGGATGCCTGCTGATTAAGGAATACAAGGGGGCAGTTAGGTTTCTAGCAAACATGCTGGGGTATGTCTATGCTGCAGAGTTTAGTGCAGGGTAGGGATATGCAAGGGAGCTCACGTACCAGAGGCAATCTAGCCAGCACTCAGTAAAGGTCTCTCTCCTCTGGCTCTGCCTGCTGCACTGTTTACAGCCATAAAACGGGACCACTCATCAATTCTGGGTTGTCTGAACAGCCTGCTGCCCCCCAACATCAGGGGCTTGGTCTCCCTCTCTCTGATCTTCCTTCATAGTCTGTACCTCTCAAAAGGAAGCAGGATTGTGCCCATTCGTGTGTCTCCCCAGGCCTTTCTGAAGAGTTTTTGACCTATAGGTTCCCCCTTGATAACTAGGTTTGGAGCCGAAATATTTGGCCTTGATCCACCCTATACAATGATGGCTCATAGGAAAGTTTTGTTTCTTGGTTGTTTAAAGCAACTCTCACTGCTCTTGAATGCCTGGGAGAGTTGGAGTTCCTGTTAAAGTAATGATAGGGGTTTTGCTTAGTTTAAAAAAAAAAAAAACAACCCAAAAAACAGATTAAAGTAGAATTCTTCAACAACCAACGCTGTTGGTAGAGTTTCTACTCCCAAATGAGAGATGCTGTAGCAGACTCCCCATGTATTTACTCCAGTTGCATTCATTCTCAGGAACCCCGCTGAGCTCTGAACAAAAAGGCTATCCTTGTAGGAACCAAACACCTTCCTCTGATTTGAATGTGCATTAATTCAAGTAATTGAGATCATGCAGAACTGGATACCAGCTCAGGGTAATATGGTTAGTCGTTGGAACCGCTTAACAAACACCACTTGCCCTTCTTTTTCGCTTCTTAATTTGGTCTGCATGTGGCATTTAACAACCTTCACCACAGCAAATCCAATGAGTATTTTATATGCTTCAGTATTACTCAGTCTGTTCGTTCCCAGATTCAAATACACAAAGGGTTTAGAAGCTAATTTGTAAATCTCTTTTTTTTTCATTAGTATTAAAAATGACTGAATCTAGAGCAATTCCTTAGCACAAAGTCATAATGGTGCTTGGAATGTCCCATTCTTTAAGTAAAAAGGACCCAAGGGCTTAATTTCATCACCATAAAAAAAAAAAAAAAAATCCCTTTTTTTTGTTCTCAAGAGCTGCATTTTGAAACAGAAAACCAATCAAATTCAGCAGCCTGACTCTGCAATTTCTTGTTGCTGGTAAACTCTCCCTTATCAAATGACACAACATGCTTTTATCTATGTCAGCAGCAAAAAAAAAAAAAAAAAAAAAAGCAAAGGACTTGGTAGGTTTAAAACAACCAACCTGAACATTCAGCCTGAAGAAACAATCCCAGAAGACAAACGGAGACTGAGAGAGTGAGTTTTGCCATTTTTTTTCTTGCACAACACAATCCTTTCTGCTCGGAACTTGTGCACATAGAGAGGCTGGGTCGATCCGGTCCAAAGTGCAAGCGCTTGTTTGCTTGCTTTGAGTAACCCTTTAATTTTAAGGTTCCCACACATGCGTCAGGTGAGGACTCTGAAATGGCAGCGGGGGTCTCGAAATGAGGAGCAACCACAGCAAGCTTGCTCTGAATAGGTTTCTTGTAGCATTTCTGTTGTTTCCTCTTTGGGATGGTCCCTGCTGGGGAGGGGACTGAGACTGGCTTGAAGAAGAAAAATAGTTCACATCGGGTGTAGTGAATCAGGCTCCAGTAAGATCGGGAACAGACGTTCAATAAACCAATTTAACCTAAATTGGTTCAGTCTGATACTACATCTATCCTGGTTTATCATAAACCAGTTTCAGCCATTGTGAAAGCAGTCCATGTGCACTGAACTTCTGTTGAGTTACAGATTGGAACCAGTTTCTGATCACTTATACTGGTTTATGTGTAACTTCTGTCCCTAGCCTAAATGACTAGGTTTATTCGAATAGCTTGATCTCTGTGTTCATGGTGTTGCTAGCAGTACATGGAAATGAAATGCGAATTTTGGAAACATGCTGTGAAGCAAGCGCATGAAACTCCACCCAGGCCAGAGGAATATGCGATTGCTTCAGTCAACCAGGCAGAGCAAGGTTCACTTGACCATGTGAAACAAAGGGTGATACTTGGCCCATCCAGATGAGCTGGCCCCCTGGAAAGCGTTGGCAACATCTGAACTGGCATCAGTGGGGCCAGGATTTCACCCCAGAACAACATAATGGGGCTCTCAATGAACCTGTTCCAGCTAGGGTTTGAGGCACGTGATGCAGTCCCTGAAGAAGACGGCCAAAAGGCAGGGATAGATGGGGCAGGGCTGGAGGTGGAAGGGGGACTGTTATTCTGTAAATGGTTCCTAACCCTGGCACTATTCACCTTATCTCCTCTGCCAGCACTGTTCACTGAAGTGGTCCTAGCCCCCCACTGCCTTGTGGGTGCTCCTTGGTTGGAGAAAGGTTAAGGGACATCATCCTGCCCGAAACGCGTCCTCGCTGAGGAATTAGGCAGTCGGCAGCAGTTCTTATCTGTTGCTGTCTGGCAGAAGGTACAACCATTAAGGCACTGAACATCTGGACTCAATCTTGCCTTTGGGCTCCGTCTCTAAGGTCTAAAGGAGAGATGGGCAACCTCTATACTCTTGCCTAGGCATATGCATCAAAGGTCTTAGTGTGGTGGCCACAGGACTCCATACCAGCAGATACATCAGGCATCCAACTAGACCGCTTACACATACACCATGATCCAGAGGACTGGCAGACAGTTGCCTACTTTTATCTACCGAGATACCAGCTTTGAAACCCAGCCTTGGTTGTGGGTACAAGGAACACCCCTCTTCTTTTATCTTTGCACCTTTTGGACAAGGGTGGAGGGAGTAATTTGAGTTAGCTGCCATTCAATTAATTCAGTTGATTTGAGTTAATTGCCATGCATGTCATGACTGGCCCTTGCCTGTATTGATGCAAGTCAAAGCTCAGGACAGTCAGACCCAGGATAACCAAGGTCTGTTTTTAGCCTCAGTCAGTTTGATCCCAGGGTTATCACCTAGTTGCCAGGCAGTGTAATAGTCCCTACAGCTTGGGAGAGAGCTTTGTGTGTGATCCTTTCTATCAAGTAAAATTTACCGTTCAGTAAAAACTGGGATAAATTATTCTGTAATTGTCATATCCTTTACTTGAGACAGGAAGAGCTAAGTGATGATAGTGGACTGAAGCTCATCATCTGATGATTTATAAAAGGAGAGGGGCTTTTAACAGGCTTCACTGTTTTTGTTGTGGTTTTTTTTTTTTTTTTTTTTTTTTTTTTTTTTGTTTTTTTTTTTTTTTGAGACAGGAAGAGCTAAGTGATGATAGTGGACTGAAGCTTATCATCTGATGATTTATAAAAGGAGAGGAGCTTGAAGAGGGGCTTTTAACAGGCTTCACTGGTTTTGTTGTGGTTTTTTTTTTCCAGAAGAGATGGATATTTTATTATTGACACCACAATATAATCCTGCAGCATGTTTCATCCCATAAGTGTTTACAAGCAGCCAGCTTGGTTCAGTATGAAATGAAATATGTAAAGTATTGGATCAGCCTGTATCCTGCAGGGTAGAGAATGGGCCGTTACTTGCTTTGAGACTTTGCCTCTTGAGTGTCTGGAAAAGTATGCGTTTGAGCTAACAAATCATAAATTCTGTTCACGGTGCCTGCAAAATGTAACAAATGGTCCTTCCCCAAGCATATGAGGGACATTTATGGTTGTGTAGGTGTTTGGGAATCACTTTTTGTACAAAGAAAGGACTGATAAATGGCAGATTAAAACAAGAGGCCTCCACTTGAGCTATGGGTTTATAAGCTCTCTTATGCTTTGCCAAGAAAAAAGGAATCCTTTCTTTATTTTTGAAAGGCAACATTTTTATCTTGCTTTGTTTTACAGTATCTGAAATAGTTTGCATTTGCCGCAGGCGTGCAGTTTCAGAGGGAGTGTTACAGATTTGCTACTGTAGGTAGAGGAGGAAAGATGCGTTCATGTATCTGCGATGAAGCTACCTTGGAGTAACTATACACTTGTACCGTTGTGATGTAAATGTAATGCAAAGTAGAGGGTAAAGGCCATTTCTCATTTCTTGCATATGAGTACATGTGAATGTGATCGGGGGGAGGCAGGGAAAGAAGCAAATTGGTATGAAATAGTGAAATAATATGCCTTGGATCAATAAAAGGAAAGTGGAGAGTAGCCTGCTTTAACAAACCAAGCAAAATTAGATTATCATTCTACAGCATTTTTTTCACAAGAGCACAGGATAGGCAAATTATTTCTGTTTTTTATGGTGCTAGCAAGATCTGCAACATTAATGCTATTTAATCTAAAAGAAAATGCCTGCACAATTGGAACAAACAAGGCCATTAATATGTCCAAACCTAGATCCTGCTGCTACCGCTCTCCATCTTTGTGGTATCCAATGTTAACAAAGAGTTTCCTCTGTTTCTGTTGCAAACAGTTCCCAGTGCTGGGAGCAGCCCTCAATAAATGCTTTGGAGAGGAAAGTATTGTTGCTATATTGGATTACCGAAATTAAATATTGATCCAGCTTAATTCAGATTTATAATATTAACGTTCTCAAAGGGGGACTACTTAAAATTCAAAATTAAGTACTGCGTTCTTGGAACTTGTTAGAGCCAGCTGAATAAAACTGTTTCCTACTTGAGCTTTTCCTTGGCACATCAACAACTTTCCACTGTTTCTTGCAAAATGCAACTTGGTTGTCAAGCCCATTTTCAGATTGAAAAGGTCAGGCTTGCTATTTGGAGATCTCTCGTTGGGACTGACCAGTCCTCCGAAACAGTCTTGTCAACAGCTGTTGGAATTGAAGTCTCGCAGAAATGTTTTGGCGCTGCTGAAGTAATAGCGTATTTTGATGGAAAACTATTTGGTCTGCGATGTTCTCACCCAAACTAGTTCCAATGGGCTTCCTTAATGTCGTCGCATACCTTATCCAAGTCCTCTTGATATCTGCTTGCTTCCTACTGCTATTTTAGACCTTCAGGGATTTTGCAGATTTGACTCTTGTGATTAAAGTCTACTTTATTCAAAATCTGTGTTGGAATCTGTTGTACTACTTTTTTTTAAAGAGTGCTTCTCAACCTTTTTTGTACCAGGACCCATTTGTAAACATCAATGACCAGTCCTGACCTGGTGCCCCTCACTCCCAGCCTGCTGCCCCCAGCCCCAGCTCCCCAATGCGTTGGGCAGGGAGTGGGGGCACAGGGCATGAGGGGGCCCCAAGCAGCCCCTTGCAGGCTGGAGCTCTGCCAGCCTATAAGTAAAACCTGCAGTTTCTCACAATTTTCTCCTTTTTAAAGGAGAATCCATTTTTAAAGTTTGTTCATGACCCTTCCATGTATTTGGGTCGCAACCCAAAGGTTGAGAAACATTGCTTTAAAGTATACAAACTGCATTGTATACATCCCTCTCTGAATTCCCGTTGAGAGTTCAGAGATGAATGTGTGTGCTGAAAATCGTTAGGATGTGGAAGAGAAGAAAGTGCAATCTCTACAGTTAAGGGGCCATATTAATCCATGTGAGTTCCACTTCTACCTGTAGAGGGAAATCCTGGCTGCTGGGAAGTCCACAAAAGTTTTTTGTCATTGATTTCCAGCAGGTCAGGATTTCCCCTGTGGAGTTCACACTGGATGGAGATGAAACTAAGACGGTGAAGAGGGCTTTCCCCAGGCATGAATGCAATAGGAAGGAATATTGACCCCCTCAACTTAGAAATCCCAGGAAATTTGTGGCATCTGACCCCAGTTGTATCCTCTGCCTAGTGCAGGGGGGCTGGACAATGCAAGGTCCCTTCCAGCCCCTAACATCTATGAATGTGTGCCTGTATTTCTACTATGCCACCAGTGACCATTGCAACCTTGCTAGCCTCCCTGGCAACTTGGCTTCCTTGGATTTTCCCTTTCCTGTCGGTAGAAGACTTGCCCGTTGCAGGAAGAGAGCATAGGGGTTCAGACCTGTTGGAAAAAATTGTAAGGCCACAATTTTCTTCAGAAAGGTGGAGTCGTCATCAAAAATTGAAGCTAGACTTGCAGCAGAGCTCATGTTGGTCACTGAGTGATTCCAAAAAAATGGCATAATATAACCCGAGGGACCTGCTGGGTAGGAAAAACTTGAAAATCCCATCCCTGCTTTATCAGGTACCCACCTATGAGGCTTACCTGGGGGGAATTAACCCCCTGAGACAGTGTTGTTCTCCTAGCTGAGGTTCTGGGCGAAGGAGTGGACCATGTTTGCTGACTGCCTTGTAATAACTCTTCATTTTCTAACCAATGTTCATGAGCTAGATTTTGACTTCCTTCACAAGGTCTTTTCTGGCAGCTAGTAAGGAAAACGGGTCTGGGTCTCTTCATACCCAGAGCAGTCTCT